ATTTTATTTATGTTTTATTTTTCGTCATCAGAATCATCGTCATTGTCATTTTAATTTTTTTTAATTTTTTTTATTAAAAATGGGTTATTTTTATAATGCACTAAGCCTAGTTGTTACTGGTTGTTTACAAGTTACTGTTGTGGTGTAATCTGGTGTGGTGGATCTTGTAAAAAATTTTTTTGAATTTGATACCTTTAAAATAAATTAAAAAACTAACTCCTTACACTGCATTGAAAGGGCTTGTTTACAGTAATCTTTTCTCTTATTTCGACATACATTACCAACTCTCGAAGTTTGTTAAACCATTTTCTTCACGTTGTATATTAATTATCTCCTTTCCTTAAAAAACCTGCGTTGAAACTTACCGATATTCTGCCCCATGGGCGATGTAACACGAAAACAGAAGTGCTGGGTATATCTTAAAGCTCCTCCGTGAAATATACTTCAATATATCACACCAGGACCGCGGTATTTATGTTAAAGAGTATCTGATTTAAATACAAGCAAAGATAAGGCTGTTCCTCTAGCAATATCTCCCCCTTGGAAAAGGAATATTTCAGCGAGGAAAAGTATACATTTTTATGAAGGGAATCCTCTGTGGTGTTTAGCTGGCCGTGCTGAAGACGGGGGCGGGGTCCGGATAAACGCTTTTCACAATGGAACTACAGTATCCAACCACAATGCTCACTGGATTCGACTGCTACCCGCAATCAGTAAATTGATTATTTCCTCTATACAATAAACTGGCGCCCGCGGTGGCGGAACAACTGCCATACTGTAATTGTGTGTAATTGATAACCGTTATGAAATTATACGTCGCCTAAATGCGAAAATCGCTAAAGGACGTTTAGAAAGTTGAACACGCAAAAGAAATCGACTCTTACAGCTGCCGTACTGGGTATTTTTATTACATAATCTAATTTTTATGTTCAGGTTGCATATTTTGATGTACGTGGCCGATAATGCACAATATCAATATATTTTGGCAGAAATACAGGGCGTGGCGTGTATAATCTATAAAAATTAAACTACTGCTTCCTAACGATATTTGTAACAGAAAAATTTTATACGAAACAGTTCTTTTTTTTTCGTAAATTAAATTCAATTATGGATCAAAATATTCTCAGGAACGGTCCTGTCCGTGTGCTGTACGATGAGTTGTGCTGTAGACCAGCCGCGTAAACAAATCGTCGTTGAAAGATAGAAAGATACTTCCCAATTTTTGGGGAATTTTTCAATGCAAAAGTACAAACTAAGAAAAAGAGACATTTAAAAAAATGCATTGTTGTTACTGCAAGAGTTCGCAAACAAAACCACATATGTTGGTTCATTTAGTCGCCCTTCAAAGAAATAGGAACCCACAAGTACATCGCATATTATGCCAGCCCATACATTTACCGAGAATCGATGTTGAAAATGAGTTTCCCTAATCGCGTGAGGATTTTCATCGGCCCATATGCGCATATTACGGGTAAATGTCGCCTCATCTCTTACACAAACATAAGCAGGAAAGTCTACTTGATTGGTACATTGCCGTAAAAACCATCTGCAAAAACGCATTCGTTGATCACAATCCGGGGGTAAAATCTGTTGAACTGGTTGCAGATGATAGAGGTGCAACAGCTGACGCCTTAAGATGCGATGTACGGTACGAGATGAGGTTCCTACTTGCTGTGCGAGTAGTCGAGTACTAATTGTGGGGTCTTGTCAAGATTTTCCAACACTGCATCTTCAACATTAAGGTTCACTTTCTGACCACGTCCTTCTCCTCGAGGAATAACACTTCCCGTATCTCGTAGCCGCTAAATGCACTGTAGGATTGTATTTGCACATGGGGGGTAACGTTGTGGCCATCGTTCCCTGTACAACCTAGTCGTCGCGAGCGCATTTTCTACAGCTGCACCATACACTAACACCATACCGACACGTTCGGAAATAGTAAATGCATTGTTTTCTCGGTTCATTGTAAAACTAATTTGTGCACAAACTAAAAAATTAAGCAAAGTAAGAAATAAGAATCGCGTTTTTAATGTAAACGGCACGCTGTTTCTTATTTTTTACTTCTTTATAAAAATTACACTGTCACTATCGGGGAATTAGAAAATAAAAACTTTTGTCTGGAATCTTTCACTTTTTAATACTGACGGGTCGACGGACGATCCTTAATATTTAATAATTAAATGAATAATGAATTCAATACAAATACAAAATCAGTTGACTGCACAAATTTTTTGACAATGTAACCTAACCTTCTTTTAGTATTACTAGTATTAGATTATACCGACATAAATTATAAGGTTGCATCTCGGGTCGCATAAAAACATTTCCAAAATTTTTAATAAATAACACGGGGTCGGTCTTCATTTTCGTTGAATTAATGAACCTTAATTTACAAAAAAAACGCGAAGATAGAACTTTTTCGTATAAGACTTTTCTGTTACGAATATCATCAGGAAACTGTAGTTTAATTTTTATAGATTATACACGCCACACCCTGTATGCACGTAAGTGGCGATTATTCCGAAGTTGCCGATCATATGCATCATGTAAAGGAAGAAACTGATAGTAATACACAGATACATAATACACGGACTTAGATATGGATAATCAGACGAAACAAGAGTAAAAATAGAGATCACTTCAGTGATACAGATATACAGGGTGTTTTTGAAGTAAGTCTTTGAAAAGGGTGATAGAGGTTACGAAAATGAGCAACTTTTATTAAGAAATTTATGGTTTAAATGTTTTCGAGAAAATTAAGAAAATTAACCATAAATGTAATCCGACCCTGTGCATCTTGTGCACGTGCACAGCCAAAATGCTTCGGATTCGCTACAATCGTGAAGCGCTTCTCTAATTGGCTAACGTTCCACGTGACTTCCACAATCAAACAAATCTGATGGTAGGTCAGTATAGCTTGTGTTCTTTAGTTGTGTTGCAGTATTACTTAGTCGGCGTATACAATGTTTTCTGATCAAGAACTAGCAGATATGCGTTTGTATGCGGTCTGTTACCGTAACAGACGACAACTTAGTAGAACAGTGAAAAAGCCAGTTTAAAATGTCCACCTGATATATGAAGGCCGTAACACGTTTTCAACAACGAAGAAAACATCATAAACCTCGTTGAGGAAGATCCGAGGCGCAGTACACGTGACATTGGCCAAAAAATTGGGTATCTAACACTACATGTGGCGTGTATTACGTGAGAATTATTACATCCCTAAGGGTTTAGGCATTAAATAACAGTGATTTTCAACCCCGTGACAGGCACACTTGATTTGGAACAAAAAGTTTATTTAGATATATTTAACAGAGATTATTTGAAATACTTTAGTGACACCACTGACTTCGCACACGAATGTCAAACAATAATACCTATTCCTCTGGTATCACATTACAATCAACTTTTAAACATGGAAGTGTATATTTTTTGGTCCTATGATAGACAGTTTTAATCAAATATGCTGAAACTTTCCTCATTTCTATTTGACATGTCAGTGTTAGTAACATCTGGGTTTCGCAACGTTGAATATTGCGGCAAGAATGAAAATTTAAGCTAGCTCTCTAACTATAGTGTATACAGTAGCACAAGTCATTTATTACGATTCAGTTTGAGTAACTGTCGTATAAAAACGAGAGTTGTGTTCCCACCACCAAAACTGCTCAAATCGAAACATTGACGAAAATGTTAAAAACTAATTTCCAAGTTGATAAACAGCCTGTATATCTCTTTCAAAATTTGCTGTTGCTGAAACTACCCTCGAATGTTTGGGTAGCATAAAAGATGTTTTTTTACTACATTTCCCCAAAACTTCCTTCATTTTCAGTACCATACAAATGAAAATGGCTTATTTTATACGTCGCCCGTGAAGGATATACGACACCCTTTATCCAGAGGAATATATCTGATTCACATTATTAGAAACCATTTGTTTTCGAAGTCGGTAAAACTTGAAACACCCCCCGGAATCCCTATTCTACTATTCTTTAGAATATCCCTTCTATTATCGAGCCGGTCATTTATTGAGAATCTTGTCATTCCTGCAATTCCGCATATACGGCAAAGTTGAAAAAAAAAATACAAAAGCGTAGAGAGTCCTGTGGTATTCAAAAGAATCGAACCCGGACCGACTAATAACATCGGAAGAATTGAATAATACGTTTCCGGAGGACTAGGAATTATATCAGAAATAAGAAAAACACATATACGTCAGAATCTAGTTACCAAATTATACTCGAATAGTTGTTAAGAGGGCTCTATAGCAAATAGCCAACCAGCAATACATTTTTATAGATTTTATTACACAGTTTGTCTAAATGTGAATTAAAGCACAAATAACAGGCTTTTCTCCATTGTAACGCAGATTTTCTATAAAATGGACTTAGTTTCAAACTCAAATAACTTTTTGGTGTCAAGAAATTTCTAATTTACGATGCCGCTTGTTCAAAAGCGGCAAATTACAAATTTCTTTATAACAAAAATTCAAAATAGCTCCATTTTATAGAAAATCTGCGCTGGAATGGATAAAAGTCTGTTATTTGTGCATTAATTCTTATTTAGATAAACTGCAATAAAATCTATAAAAATGTATTGGTGGTTGGCTATTTGCTATAGAGCCCTCTTAAGTTTGAATTGTATTTAGAACATTATACACTGATTTAAATTGCACAGACAAATATTTCTGTGACTTTGATAGATTGGATTCACTTAATCCGTAATCCTTCCGGATCAAAAACGGCACTACTCCCTAACATTAGGAACTGGCAAGGCCTACTGAGTCGGCGTGGCTAAAAAATTATGTTTAATGAGGATGAAATAGCGATGCGAAGAAAGCGTCTGCCGATAACCGCGGCGGAAGTAGTTTCGAGTGGTGTTTGTAAAGAGGTGTTATCGGATCACTATCAATATGCTGCGGAACCCTCTTCGAGCAGATTAGCTGGTAACGTAATCCGTGAGAGCACTATCGAATGTCGTTAATTAGTTGATTACATACTTACCCATGTTTGAGCCCGGCAGCAGGATCGACTCGTCTCTAGACCACGACGTAACGCTGACGTGCTCCTTCACGAATGCAGGAATCACACAGCCCAGTACTGCAGTGTTCCCTGCTGACACATGAGTGTGGTACACCTGCACCTCGTAATGTTGATTCACCACTGAAACAATGAAACGACTTGTTTATTTTCCCGTATTTTTAATTGCTTATCCGAACAGATGCAACACTGTTTTTATTTAAAATTTGTCGCATTATATCGTCCTAAAACTGACACTTAATATTCTTAAAATACAAATTAAAATATCACTTTTACTAAGTGTGAGATAGCATAGTTTTATCGGATTAAGTGCATCTTTTAATTCCGAGGACAAGTTTGTTGTCGTGGATGCAATTATATTTAAGTCGTCAAACTACTTTGGCAGTCATTTGATTTAAATTTGTTGTTGTTTTTAACAGAGGTATTAATGAGTGATAGTTTCCTCCCTGGCGAAACTAAAGATTAAAAGTAGCACTTTAATTTAATTTGTGATACTACAAATTAAAACACCACTTTTACGAAGTATCAAACAGTATAACTATGTACGGATTAAAGTGCATCTTTTAATTCCGAGGGCAAGTTTGTTGTCGTGGATGAAATTAAATCTAATAGTCGTCAAACTACCTTAGCACTTCAATTTAATAAATATTCATTGCCTTTGATAAATAGATTTAGTAGAATATTGAAAATGACACTTTACTCTCTGAAAGTACAAATTAAAATACCATTTTTACGAAATGTAAAATAGTATACTTTTATACGGACTAAGTGCATCTTTTAATTCGGAGGAAAGTTTGTTGTCGCGGATCTAATAGTAGTCAAATTACCTTAACAGTAATTTGAATTAAAACTGTTGTTGTTGTAAGAGAGGTATTACAAAGCGACAGTTTCCTCCCTGAAGAAACCAATGATTAAAATAGCACTTTAATTTACTAAATGCTCATTTGTTTTTGATAAATAAATATAGTCGCTAGAGGAACTAGAAATTAAAATATCACTTTTACGAAGTATAAAATAATATAGTTTCATACGAATTAAGTGCATCTTTTAATTCCGAGGATTAGTTTATTGTCGCGGATGCAATTATATTTAACAGTCGTCGAACTACCTTGGTAGTCATTTGATTTAAATTTGTTGTTGTTTTTAACAGAGGTAATAATGAGTGACAGTTTCCTTCCTGGCGGAACTAAAGATTAAAAGCAGCACTTTAATTTGTTTATATATGTAGATTTAGTCGCTAGAGAATTAAATGTGATACTTTAATCTCTGAAGCTACAAATTAAAACACCACTTTTACGAAGTGTCAAATAGTATAACTATATATGGACTAAAGTAATTAAATCTAATAGTCGTTAAATTACCTTGGCAGCCATTTGGATTAAAACTATTGTTTTTAACAAAGGTATTAAAAGCGATAGTTTCCTCCCTGAAGAAACCAGAAATTAAAACAGCACTTTAATTTAGTAAATGCTTGCTTTTGATAAATAGATATAGTTTCTAGAGAATTAAAAGTGACACTTTACTCCCTGAAAGGATTCAACAACATTTTTAATCTACAGAGTGTAAAATAGTACAATTTACTAGGAGATCCAAGTGCACCTCTATCCCGAAAGCGAGGCTTGTTGTCTAGAATGTAACTGGCATGGCAACTAACTGTTAACACTAAGTCCTGCCAAATTAAAATGTGATAGTTTATTCCCTGCTGAATCTGGGGATTAAAACAGCACTTTAATTTAATGAATGTTTTTAATGAACATTGTTAACGATTAAAAGAGGCACTTTACCACCCGAAACTTGGAAGTAAACGGCATTTTTAATCTATAAAGTGTAAAATAGCATACTAAAGGACCAAAGTGTATCTTTCAATACTGATGGTGAAATATCCGGCCGGGGATGTAATCGAGGGTGTAGCAGTTAACATTAATTTGATCATCTTGGAAATCATCTGAATTACATTGGTAAACGTTGATTTGTTTTCACTAGATATACAAAAATTAAATTTAACCCCTCGGAGATTAAAAATGACACTTTATTTCCTAAATCTAGGGATTAAAATATCACTTTTAATTTAGTTTGCTTTTGATAGATATATTTAGACTCTGAAGGGTTAAGTGGGACATTGTACTCTCCGAATTTATGAATTAAAGTGCAAAATATACATTATGTACCAAGGGTTCATACTGCATCTTTTAATCTCAAGGGTTACAATTATTAAAAGAGCACCTACGGGATTGAACAGCACTTTGATCCTACGCTGTTATTTTCTGCATTAATTCGAATTAAATAACTAAAACTACGATGGTAACAATTTAATTAATAAATAGTCTTAAAATAATGATTTAATCTCCCGTGATTAAAAGTGGCACTTTCCTTCCTCAACCTAAGCATTAAAACAGCACTTCTAATTCACGGAATGCAAAATAGACGCAGAACAATGGAATGAATTCAATTTTACTGAAGAACTCGATGTGACGGTTCCTTAAAGGCCTCATATATGACTACATCTATAACGGGGTATAATAAGCTGCATAAAGAATGAGAAGATTACATTTGGGAAGCTAAGCATAAGTTCGAGGCATGGCTTTGTAGGGGATGATTTGATGAAAGAATGATATAAATAAGTGACTGTCATTTTACGTCATTCCATTTTCTTTGCATTTTATTTAGTTACAGGGAAAAATACTCAATTGTGTACATGCTCCTATTGATTTATTACGATTATATATTTTTTTAATTAATGACGTTTAGAAATTACTAACAAAAATGCACTATAAACATCACCGTCAGTTTTTTTACCGCCAGCTGATATAGAAAGTTCAACAAGCAAATTTATAGCACTTTGATGAACCGCCACTGATCACGTCACTTGACAATCACGGTACATTGTAGACAAGTGTGACAAAATGTAACTAAAACTACAAACTTTTGCCTAGCGCGTGTCGAGGCAGGCACTTTTTACTTATTAATATCCGTTTCATGTCCGTTTAATCGTTAATCGAAAAAGTATCTGTCATCAGATACCCGACACGTTCCAATAAATTTTAACTGCCCCAGGCCTCGATGAGGTTAAAACGGGGTAGTTTGATATAATTCGGGTTAGATGAGTTAATATGATTACACTGGACCTTCCTAATTATAACACCAAAATAAAATTAATTCTGGATCCAGGCCAACATCCCGAAGCATAAAGGTGTAAACTTTGTCGGAGAGGATAGAGAAACCTGCACTCGTATGAAAGCTAGGCGTGTGAGGGTATTTTGTTACCTGAAAACCCTTTACTGGACTGCCCAGGTACTTAAACAAACGTGCAAGAAAATAGTGTATAGTTAGTGTTTGTCACAATGTCATTATAATCATTATATTGCGCATTAGTGAGTAAACATTTTCTTAAATGACCTATTTTATGTACTAACCTGTAATTTTTTCCAATTTACGCAATAGTTCCTAAAATCATGTGCGAAACACTAAATCATAAATAATTTATTTTATGCACTAGTGTGTAATGATATATTTTACACACCAGTATCTAAAAATGTATGTGATTAAATTATAGGTAATCTATTTTATGCACTAGTGCGTAATGTATTTAATTTTACTTCTAAAAAATGTGTTAAAAAAATATTATAAACGTGTGTGTAATATATTCATACCGTAGTATGCGTACACTAGTGTCTAAAATACGCGTGATAAATTAAATTATAATTAATTTACACTATACACTAGTGTATAATATATTTCATTTTACGCACTAATGTCTAAAAATGTGTGTGATAAATTAAATGGTAAATACGCTACTTTATGCACTAGTGTATAAATTAATAATTAATTAAATTATCTATTTTACGCACTCGCAGTAATACTTTTAATTTAAGCCATAGTTCCTAAAACATGTGCGAAACACTAAATCATAAATAATTTTTTATGCACTACTGTGTATTGTATTTCATTTTACGCATTTTACTTCTAAAAATGTTTGGTAGAAAATATTACATGCTTGTGTGTAATGAATTCATGTTATGCATTAGTGTCTAAAATACGTGTGATAAATTAAATGATAATTAATCTACATTATGCACTAATGCATAATGTATTCCATTTTACGCACTAGTGTCTACAAATGTGTGATAAATTAAATACATAAATATTCTATTTTATGCACTAGTGTGTAATGTATTCCATATTGCGCTCTAGTGTGTAAAGTACATGTGATAAATTAAATTGCTATTAATCCACAGTATGCACTAGTGTACAAAGTAATTTTTCACACTAGTGTCTAAAAATGTGTACGAAAAATTAAATCATAAATACGATACTTTATGCACTAGTGTGTAATTAAATTATAAATGATCCATTTTATGCGCAGGCAGTAATGCTTTTCAATTTAAGCAATAGTTCCTAAAACATGTGTGAAACACTAAATCATAAACATTTTTTTAATGCCCTAGTGTGTAATGTATTTCATTTTACGCATTTTGCTTCTAAAAATGTGTGTAGTAAAAAATATTATATACTTGTGCCTAATTAATTCATGTTACGCACTAGTGAACACTGTATTTCATTTTGCGCACTAGTGTCTAAAAATGTGTGTGATAATTTAAATCATAAATATGCTACTTTATGCGCTAGTGTGTAATTAAATTATAAATGATCCATTTTATGTACTCGTAATAATGCTTTTCAATTTAAGCAATAGTTCCTAAAAATATGTACGAAACACCAAATCATAAATATTTTTTTTATGCACTAGTGTGTAATGTATTTCATTTTACGCATTTTAGTTCTAAAAAATGTGGTGTAAAAAATATTATAAACGTGTGTGTAACGTATTCTTACGCACTAGTGTCTAAACTTCGTGTAATAAATTAAATTACAATTAATTTACACTATACGCTAGTGTATAATGTAGTTCATTTTATGTACTGATGTCTAAAAATGTGTGTGATAAATTAAATCATAAATACGCTACTTTATGCACTAGTGTGTAATGTATTTAATTTTACGCATTTTGCTTCTATAAATGTGTGTGGTAAAAATATTATATACTTGGGCGTATTGAATTCATATTATGCACTAGTGTCTAAAATACGCGTGATAAATTAAATTATAATTAATTTATATACTAT